GCATTTTAAGTCAGCTCAGTGGAATGTACAAGCAGAATTCAAATGCAAATGTGCTCTCCTGGATGTGCTACTCGTGTGCAGAGGCATTTTAAATAGGAAGGTTGTATTGACAATGCATATGATTGGGAAGTATTGGGCGAATGACTGGATAAATTAGACTGAAATTATACTGGACTAGTTGTTTCAAAGTTTGCAATAAGATGTTTTAAAATAGTTTTACTGTTGTTAAACGTAGACCACCTTTCACTCCAATTCAGTTTTTTCATTCACCTTGGAGGCATGCAAGAAAAAAAAGTTTTCTTGATGAATTCAACATAACACAGGGTGGGTATTTGACATACAAATGATGATTTTGTGGGGGAAGTAGGCTATTCCTTTGAGGTTTTTCAAATTTGAGAATCACGATGTTACCTGTGATCCAAAAAGACACATTTGGGGGGATTTCAGACGTCCTTTTCCCTCTACTTTGCAATGAATGAATGCAAGTTCCAACAAGTCCATCTCAAACTAAAGCCATCTGAAGGGCATCCCTTTGGTGACTTGCTAAACCCTCAGATAATGCACATTCTGTCTGTGCAGCTGAGGGTCTGCTAATGATACGATGATTGCCATTTTAGCTGTGGATCACCAGTGTTGCCTTGTCATCTAGGGAGCTTGAGATACCTGAGAGACCAATAAGGCCTGGCATTAGCCATTACTATTGTTGTCTTAATGCCTCCTTCAATTATCCACAAGCAGCTCTTTTGAGCAGCTACTGTCAGAACCTCCCCCACCGGTTTTTCACCAATTTTGTCCCTGATTATCCGGATCAATGGGCATTAAAAGACCCAGGCACAGACAAACACAGTAGTTTGGGGGGGTTGGGAGAAGGGGGTCTACTTTCAGACAGATTAGAAATCCCTGTAACTACCTGTGTGCCAGGGACAAACGGAGATGGCTATTCAGTCGTCAGTCCCACCACACACAGTGTTTATTTAGCCGCAGCTCAAACTAGACACGTTTAATCTATTTTGCTTTTCCCTGCAGAACTTGCAAACCCAAGAAATGATTTCTTTCAATCTCTGTCTGTCTGTTTCCGCCATCACACACGTGCATACACAAAAACAGACTGAAGTGCTAAAAGTTTTTTTTAATCAGCTGGTTATGTCACCCATCATTGACGGTGGTCCTCCCTGACTACACCTACATTAAATAATTAATGTAAAGCCTAAATTATTTACATTATATAGATGATAGGTAGATAGGTAATAATATAGATGAGATGTGGCTACCTTATGCAAAGATGCTATTGCTAAAAATGTTTTATTAGTCAAGTTTCACTGGAGAGTTCAAGTGTCCAGTGATGTTCTTAATGCCAGTAAAGTGATTTTTTCACAATTTCAAGAAACAAATTATGGGTGAAATTGTAAAACTTTGTAATTCTTCTGAAATAAAACCATGTAAATTCAACTATCGTCTTTCAGTCTCAACATGAGCTTCAAAGAAATCCAAATCAGTCAAACCCTAATACTGACCTCTTTACCGCCTCCCCTAAGGCATTAATTTAGTGTTTAAACAGGTGCAGATGAAAGGGCCACAGGTGAGGTAGTTGCAGCTCTCGCTGCTCGCAGAGGAATGACCACCCTGTGACTCACCTCAGCTCTGACCAGCTGCCTGCTGCAGAGGTCCCGTGCTGATCAAAGCTGCCTCAGCTCGCCAGTTCAGCGGTGACAACACTGACAGCGAAATGTTTTCACCGCCGTCTGAGCTGATGAGCAGTTTTGCAAGATGTGTTGTTAGGTGATATGTATCTTCGGATTAATTGACACACCTGTGTTTAATTCACATAGACAGTGCTGGCGATCATCTCATCAGAGATCCATCAACACTAAGCTACAGCTGCCTTGCTCATAGAAAAAAAAGTGTTAATAATCTTCCTGTCTTGGCTGTTAATGTGTTGATGTGAATGCTTTGATCTGAGATGGAAAAATCCAGTAAGTGTTCGGTAACACTTTGACTTCTGTCTTTTATACTTTACAACGATGGTAAGAATACATCACCGCTAATTATTGCAGTATATCAGTTATTAAAAACACAGGATAGAACATGAATACTAAGCACTTGCATCTGACAGTGAATGTTTTGACAAATTATCTGGTGACGCTGCCAAACTCACTAGGTAGCATGCAAGCAAGTTTTAAAAAGTGGCATTCAAAGTAGATTTCGTGCCAAAATTTGCAACAAATCAATACGTTTTAGTTGTTTAACTTTAAGTCTGTGCTGAAGTGTGCAATAAGGGTAGCTGGAAGTTTGTGGCCTTCAGCATTACATTCGAGTCACAGTGCTAAAATTCAGGTTTTCTGAAAGCTAAATGCCAGTCTTAAAAACCCAGAAGTTCATTTAACAAGATATTTGACTATATTAGATCATGTGGATAAAAAAATAAATAAATCACCCAGTGCATAGTGAAAGACTTTCAATCCAGGACACAGATTTTTTTTTTTCTCAGCCAGATGGTTAGGACAGTCTTTCAGAACAGTGTTAAGTCTTGTTAAATGACCTTGGGTTTTCCAAACATCGGCAGTATTTAGAGAAGCTGATGCACTGTGTGACTTGAATATAATCCTAATGCTAATACATGAGAAGCACAAACTGGTGTTAGCACTTGGGCAACGTCCTTGCATTATTTTGTTTTACAGAATTTGCTCTTGTCCTTTTAATGAAACATTTATTAAACAGCCACTGTACAGTCACAGATTTAGGATAGAAAGTATTTTGCATTTTAAATGGAATGCTCTTTTAAAGTTTGGTTAAAAAAGCTTCTAACATTTGCCAATGTTACAGGTGTCACATTTTCATTATACCTGCTTTACCTTGTGTTAAGGGAACCTATTATGCTTTTCCTTACTTTCTGTCATGATTATATAGTGTTACAGTGTCAGATGTTTATATTAAACATGGCCAAAGTTGTATGTTGTACGTATGTAAAAGTAATCCCTGTGAGCAAACACCTCAGGCTTCAAACTATTCAAAATACTCTGTTTCCAACATTTCTGCTTTAGCTATAAGAGGACGTCAGCTCGTGAAGGTTTTTACGTATATAGTGATCTGCTCCAGGCACGCTACTGCTAGTGCTACATAATGTAGTCTACACTGCTACATGTAGCTACAAGCTAACGGTAGGGTAACCAGTAAACTTGTTGTTAATGTCTGCCCGATTTTTGGATCATATTTCAGCTAGAACATGTCCGGGCCTAAAGAGACAGGCGCTAAAATGGATTGTCTCAGAATGAGGGTTGACTGGTGTTGCAGTATAGACAATATATGAGGGTTTTTCCTGCATAGAGAATTATGAGGCAACCACCTCCATCAAATTTTGTCCAGCCTCAGCTTTTTAAAAAAAAATCTTATGTGTGTCTTCAGGGAAAACACTTTTCTAACAAGCCTTACACTTGTTGGAGTTCTGTCATTTGTAGCTGCAATTGCAACATAACGCTGACGTGTTGGCGCTTTATCTTAATCAGCAATGCACCAGAAAAGGTGCTGCCAAAAGTGTCAAAGAGAAAGAAAGACATTAATTTTTGGCTTGACCGCAGCAAAGTGGGCACCTGCCCTATTAATGCAAAACAAAGTCGATGAGGTCATTATTAGTCTTCTGGTCCCTGCTGTTTGGTGTTTTAATATTGGCCTAGTTTGCCAGCTGGCACTTAGAAACACGGTTGCAAATGGCAGTCAGGGTTTGTAAATGGCAGCGTTTGTGAACGCAACTCTGTGCAGTTCATAAAGTTGGAAAGATATCTACAGACTTTATCTTCCTGGCTCAATAACTCATAAGTAAAATGTTGTTTAAACACAAATGACACTTTGACATAAAGTGAACAACGAGCTACAACCTAACTTCCACCAGAACAAGCCGTTGTCTGAGCTGGACAAATAATGTTGCTCTCAATGTGCAGCTTGCTGTGAGACGAGTGTGCAGGGACTCTACAATGTGCAACACCAAAAAAAGATGTTCCTTGTAAAAAAGTGTTCTCTGGAGCCATGGTACACATGCACGTGTATGCACATGACCAGGACAGTAGCACCTATGCCTCATTTTGAACCAAGAAAAGCCCTGTGTATGAGAAAAATAAGTGTTTTTGAACACTTAAGCGTGTAAACATGTTCAGGTACAAGCCTTAAATACAAGTATGAACCTGAAAATGAGCTTAATAATTCCCCTTTAATATTTCATTAGTGGATTTCTACTGTCATGCAAAGAAGGGATTTGTGTGTGTGCGCTGCCTCTACTCGTTGACAGACATGATAATTTTGCACAGCCTGTCACAACTTTAGAAAAAACAATAAAATTAAATCAACAATGGAGTAAACACAAAGTTACTAGGAGGGATTTCAAAACATTCAGCAAATGACCTTTCAGGTTTGTCTCATTGTTGTCAGGAGGAGTGTGTTTATCCTGGAACCTGCTGTTCAGGGTCTGCCGCTTGTGTGCTTGTTTTCATCCCACAGGAGTGAACAACCTGTGTTTTCATTACGTGTCCTTTGCAATAATTTGTTCTTATTATATTTGACAACTGTTAAACCGGTCAGATAGGAGTTGTGCAAATCTTTAAGGCGAACGTGCCTATATGAGCACACACACATGTTCATCTTCGCAAGTGACTTTCCACACACTGAGCTCCTGTCCATCTCACTGATTGAAATTTCAGAAGCCAAAGATGTTGCAACTTGTCCCAGGTAGGCAGTGAGAGGAAAAGTCAGGGGACATATATCCTATCACTAAAATGTAAGGAACAGATTGTGGTTTGGAAAGCAATGACGAATACCGCAAACACTGACGGAGTAATACTGATAATCCACTGAGAGATGAATCACAGGTTGGATTTTCACCTCCGTCCTATAAACCAAGCCCTGCTGTCTGTTTGGAGGTCATGTGACTGGGAAAGGTGGGGGAGAGGATTTGGAGGAGAAGCACAGAAAGCTAAGGTGAGACCACCTCCGCTACTCAAGCGTTACCTTTACTCCTCAGGCAACACCTTATACCTGCGCTGAGCCCCTCAGACACACACAGCAGCTTTAACAACCAACTGGACAGACACATCTAGTGGACAACCATAACTTTTCTTGTTTTTCTGGATGTTGGGATGCATTTCACCATTTTATCAGCATCCCTGTAGGAGTCAACTTGGCCCTTTGCAGTGGACTGACGCTTAGTATTGGACTCTTAACAGCATGGACATGTTTGGCCCAGGGCAGCTGGTATCCACTCTCTTGCCTGCAGTTTTCCATTCACCTGCAGCTCACTTTTTCCCTGCCTTCCCAACCAGACTGGGTTCTCAACCTCAGATTCTGATCCCAGGGCCCTTTATCAGCTATGAATCCTTGAGGAATTATCTGCAGCCAGAGCCACGCAAGGAAGCTTTTCTCCTGGCCACACAGGCAGTGGGGATGGCGCCGCTCACAGAGGGCATAGGTGAGTTCAAACTGCAGCTGCTGTGGCCAAAAAAGGGCTGTTAACACTGGACTGGTGCAGATAGTGCACAGCCAAACTGGCACAGTTTGACCACAGTCTCTAAGACAGTCAGTGTGCACCATCTGATCACAATGTAAATGTTTACAAAAGATTGGCTAACAGCTTGTAACTAACAATCAATTATCAAGCAGTGTTAAAGTGGAGCTAATGATCGCTGTGCTAATTATCCAATCTAGAGCCATTAGTTCCTTGTCACCCGTTGGCGATTGTGTAATTGGTGCTCGCGCTGTGCTTTCCAGATGAACAGAGGCCAGTGAAGCAGCGTCGTGCACGGGCCAACTACAGCAGCTGGCAGCTGGAGGAACTGGAGAAGGCCTTCGAGACCACCCACTACCCAGACATCTTCATGAGGGAGGCCCTGGCCCTCAGACTGGACCTCATCGAGGCCAGAGTACAGGTAATTGGAACTCTGAACTCCTCCTGGAAATGTTCACCTTATACTCGTTCAGCTGATATTAATTTTCATGTACAGTGCGTAAATGCCTTACCGACTCTGTTGCAGATCCATCAGTCCCACGTGTGTCGAGTGATAACATTTAAATCCACACACATTTCTTAATTCAAGATTTCAGGAAGATGCATAATGTTGCAGCAAAGAAAAGATGTCTGGGAAATTATTTTTTCTGTCATTAATGCAACATAGCTTTAAAGGATCGGTTCACCTTTTTGAGATATACTCACATTCCAATATGTACATTGACACAGTCATTTACTTTCAGTACTTCTGCTTGTCTACCGGCCATAAGGAGATTCCTTACTAACACAGCTACACTGTTAGAGATAGGGGTTAAAAAATTTCAGCACTTTCTGTGCAAAAGTGCACAGTTGGAGATAGTCGAATGAAGCGGATATCTTCTAAAAGTTGTCTTTAAAATAAATAAATAGATTTTTTTTGTATTACAAGATTGGAATTGTGTCAGACAGGGATTTTAGATAGGAGATATCTCATTTCAGAGATGGGAGGAATGATTACGGCAGCCTGTAACTCTTTTACTGAACATACAGTCGTGTCAGTTGACTTAACATATCAACCATATCAACCATATCAACCATATCCTCAAATTCAACTCTCAAAGTACTCAAACAGTGTGAATACAGGTTATGCTGCATTCACATGCTCCTCAGATGGTCCCATATCCTGAGTTGGGAAGTCATTTTTCTGACTTTGGCGTGTTCAAGAGCTTTAAAGTTGGAATTTTGAAACAACACGGACGCTACTAACAAGATGTGCTGTTTTATATTGCTCAGAGCTTTAAAACAACACACTGATAGCTGTTTCTTCATATGTACAATCCCTGAAACTACTAAAATACTGCTTTACCTGATTTGTTCTCAGGGAGAGAGCTAAAAAATAACTTTTCTAACTAATCTAGGTCACTCTGCAACTAATGTTAACATACTGCATACCGCATTACAAATTACATTTGAGCTAAAAATTGATGTGCAATAAGGGAATTATTTAATAGTTTCTGAGCATCAACCAAACATATACTTTCGTCCATCATGTTTCTGCACGTTACGTCAAAGTCGGTGAGTCATGTACCAAAACTTTGACTGACTTACTGAGTTGCTGTTACACTGTTAACAAAAAAAAAAAAAAAGAAGTTTATTCATGCTTCCTCGTCATTTCTATTTACTTTTCCTTCATTTGTTTTCAGGTGTGGTTCCAAAACCGCCGTGCCAAGATGAGACGACAGCTGAAACTCCAGGGTCAGCTCGCAGGGCCTTATGTAAAAAGAGACAATGATGAAACATCTGAGAAAACGAGCAGGAATTTAAAACAGCAGACAGAAAGTTGTGACGGCGAGCACTGGGAAAGACGACAGGAAGGAGAGAACTATCCATGGACAAAAGCTGCAAGTGCTGTGCTGAGCGTACGTATGCAGCCTGTGACCCAGAGGTCGGGGAAGTGGGAGAGGCCGGAGGGGCCAAGCTCAGAGGAGCTCCGTTCCTGCAGCATCGCCAAGCTAAGGGCCAAAGCCAGAGAACACGAGGCCGAGATCCACAGCACAGTAAACATGTCAGGAGGCGACACACAGTCACAAACACAGGAAGATGATGCCATGCACAATGATTCATAGTTTTCCTTTTTCCTTTTGTAAAGATAATAAAACAGCTTAGACACCATGAACACGCAAGAAAATATTTTTTAAACCTATTTGGGATGAGGCACTTTATTATTTAGCCTTCATTGATTAAAGATTTATTGCAGTATAAAACACTATTGTAATCTTCTATGTGATTTTCTATCAAATTATAAACAAGTATTTATCTTGCCGCACTATTTTCAGTCTTATATTCATGGTACATTTCAGTTAACGTCTGTGTTGACATTTTGTGGACATTTTTATTTAAATAGCGCTTTTAAAGTTCCTTTAAAGTTTGGGTGGTTAACACGTATACAAGTGTAAAACTGTAAAAACTCTGTACCCTGCCATTTTTCATTCCTTTAACAAGTGACTGATTGTCTCACACGCATGTGCTGTTTATGTTTGTCTATATTCTGAATGCCGTTCTCAACAAGTCGTGACTGTGACTGAAAGGCACACACTGTATACAGGTCAGTCATCAGCAGATAACAGTGACAAATGTTGCCGTCTTATCATATCAGCCTATCGGGGCACGGCTGAAATCGGATACAGTCAGATCATTTCTAAATGATTTCACTAATGACGAACTCATCCCTGACCTCTCGGGCTACTTCCAGAGACAGACAGGATGTCTGCGTGCAGCCACACGTCCTCACAGGAAACAATGGAAATAACTGAAAAATGAAATCATGACGAGTGAGTCTGTATATATGATACACGTCTGTTTTTCTTAAAACTGTATGCATCAGGGACATAATATACTGACTTCTTCTGTCTTCAAAGATAGTGAGGCACATTCCATAAAGAGCTGTTGATCAAAAGAGAAGAAAAGTTGAGACTCATGGAAAATGATAATACCAGGATGAAATAATAGTTCATAAAATAAATTATGAAGTCACAAAATGTGACATAATGATCCTTGATCTGCTTGTGACCAATCTAACTTTGTTGTTCTGCTAAGTTCAGGTTGTGACGGCATCTCAACTGTCTTTAAACTGCAGACAAAATTAATCTGAGTGATATGAGGGTGAATTATTAGTGAGTCTCATGTGTTACATTTATTAAACAAACACAGCAGTATGTCTGAAAACATCTTATAATTCCATGTGTGTGTCTTCAACTATGGCACACAGTATTTTTCATCGTACTGTCAAAACAGAACATGAGAAGATACTGGGTTAAAACATCAAATGAACTAATAAATTATCAAGTTAATTTAAGCAAGTAATAAATAATAATAGTATTGGATGACTCAAGTAATGGATGGTAACACTGCATTTTATCATAACTTTGACTGTTTATAACAGTGTTGGAGTACTGGAGATTGGTCTTGGTCTCGAGACCGGTCTCAACACCAGTTTTTGAAGATCTCATCTTGAACGTATTTTTACTCTGTCTCAGACAAAGAGGACTCTGGATTTTATTTAAAGACTGGTCAAGACCACAACTACCAGGACATCATTAAGTTTCCTGTGCAAAACTGAGCGTTGAATAAAAATGGTGGAGTTGATTTCAGCTCCTTAGTGTTTGTATTTGTTTGCTCATAGAAACAAAGAAAAAAATCACACATGTAAAATTCACCTCTGCAATTCCTTTTGATTATTTTCTTGAGACATTTCTTACAGTACACTTATACACACAAACATATATAGAGTGTGGCTATAAGAGGTGAAGAGGAATCTTCATTTGTTTTCTATGGGTATTTTTATGGTAATGTGGATCTTTCAGATAATTTTGAAGAGTGACTTTAGTTTGCATGTTCCGCATTTTATCGCAAGTGTGTCGTGCAATGTCGAACTCGCACTGCCGTGGTCTTGGTCTTGACTTCAACCCCTCAAAGTCTTGGTCTTGTCTCGGTCTTGATACACTCTGGTCTCATGGTCATGACTTGGTCAGGTTAGGTGGTCTTTTCTACTACACTGATTGCACACACTGTATAGTTTATGTGCTGGCGTAATTCTAGTTGAAGTTAAGGTTTTACTCCATATGTCTATATGGAAATGATATTGCCTGTTTGCATGCATTGTTAATGCATTTGACCACAGGTTTAGAGTGGTGAGACAGTCCTCTAACAGTGCAGTGTAACGCTGCCCCCTTCTGGGCATGAAGATGTCCTCAGACAGGATCGATTAGACTCATATTTCAGACAAGGCAACATACATTGTACAATATGTGTTCTTCAAATCCAGCTGATGTGTACATTTCTTTTTTGCACTGCAGTCACACACATCTTATTTGATGTGTGGACCATAGTGAAACTTCCAAAGGTGTGTTACTCTGCTTAATCTTTTTGGAGACCCTGTTGTCATGACAAATAATAAACAATTTATATCTTGCAGTGAATGAGGTCAGTGAAGGTCACATTTCAACAACTCAAGTTCACCTCTGGTCTCACTCACTAATGAGGTCACTGGGTCAAATCTGAAACTTCTTTTCTAAATGGATCAGGGCAGCATGCTGGAAGATTAGAGTTGTTTTGTTTCCTCATTAGGTGGAATAGGTGGAAGGACTCCTCCAACTTTCCCACAGATTTCTCCAAAAAACTTTCAGACTATAATTCTTCATAATCAGTTTACTTTATGAAAGTTGCAGAGAAATCAACTTACACTTTTTCCCTAAAACATGGTGGGACACCATAATATGGGCTAATTAGGGCGGAATCCTTATATGACAATAGTTGGCCTCAATTAGTCCCCAATTAGGCCCCACACAAAGATGAAGGAAGTAAAAAAATGTATGTCATAGATTCTGTTCTTGGTTCTCATACCGCACACTGACCTAGATATGCTGGCTGAGATAACAAGTCTGGTGTTTAATTACTTCAGAAATCCTACAGCATCTTCCTCCTTTATCAGGACCCCTAAAAGATGAATTTAGGAAGCATTAAATAAAAAAAAGATTGTAAATGTCCATATAATGGAATATTATGGAAATAATAGCTAAAATAAGATTCCAATAGACCTTTTACATGCAATACAAAAGCAGAGCAACACCCTTTGTCACAGGACAATATAGTGGCTCTTTAGCAGGGGCCTAACTAATGGGGGGTCAGAGGAGACATGGCCCCTGCACTTTTCAGAAAGTAGAAAGCAGTACTGGACCCATCCACTTTTAAAATGTTGTAAATTACATACAGAATGAATATAAAGTATGGAAATAAAGTATAAAAGAGACTAAAAATGGCAATATAAAAAATGCCTTTTATTCCTCAGTTTACACATTTTGCTTTATTGCACCACTTTTATTGTCTTTGTGCAGCAATTCTTAATGGCTGGAACTGTGCCAGCATATCATCATATTTTATTTTAAGTAAAAGTAACTTTTTAAAAAGGTGTCTGTGTGACATTTCTGCCCATTAAACCTTTGTATTTAAAGATCCAGTGTGTAAGAGTTAGGTGCATCTATTGGCAGAAATGGTTTATAAACTACATATCTATATTTTCATCAGTTTATAATTACCTGAAAGTAAGAATCATTAAATTTTCATTACCTTAAAATGAACCATTTATACAGGTCTCTATGGAGTCCACCATGTTGTTCTACAGTAGCCCAGAACGGACAAACCAAACACTGAATCTAAACAGGGCCATTAGCATTTTTGCATTGGCCATAGCAACACATTCTCACTCTGACCTTGTCACATATCAACGTTTGGTCATGGACCATCCGCGTCCAGAATGTCCAGACGTGAAAGGTTATCTGGGTACGTTGGTTGTTGACGTTCTGGGATGCTGTGTCGAGTTCTGCCTGTTACATGCATTGTTGTCTTTCAAAATACACTTCCGTTTTTACAGGAAATTTACCAATTACATATTGTCTCTTTCAAAATAAATGCGCCACGTCAGTTCAACAATGCAAATTGATGTTTCTTTTCCTCCAACAACTAACACACGTGGTTGGGTTTAGGCAACAATATCACAGGGATAAGTTTAGGTAAAAAAGAACATGGTTTGGCTTTATAATCTTACAGGATGCAAACACCGCTCTCCGGGGTGAAAGTCGATGTTTGTTGGACCCATCCACCATAATTCCCACCCACCCTATTCAGACTTTCGAGCCTTAACTTTTGTCCTTGTCCTGTAGCGTTTCCCCCTGACACTGCCAAGTGCTGTTAAACTATAATGGTGACCGCCCGCATATCATGCCAACGTGAAAGGTCGGCTTTTTTCTTCAGTGTCTGATGCCGCAAGTCATTGCCCAAGCACCAGATTTCGACAACTTGGAGTGAGACCGGATTGGCCACCAAAGTTGTCCTACATATTTGGCATATAGGAGCAGTTTCAGTTCTGCAACCTCACCACTAGATGCCACTAAATCCTACACACTGGACCTTTAAAAGTCTCCATAGGCTCTAGTTTTACAATAAATACATGAGAAATGACCATCATCTCCAGAGCGGTTTTATACTGTGCTTTTCTCTTTGGTAGGGTAAGTAAATTAATTGATAAGTTTCATCATTTTTTGTTGTATTTTGCTTTCTGAAATATTTTTGTTATGATCATCCATTTCTTGAAAGGTACATATCAAAATTATGAAAAAAAACATGGTCCAGTTTTGTTCTACAGGGGTAGTGGTATCTGAAAATACTAAAGACCTTCTGAGGATTTGTGCCTGTACTAAATGCCCCCCTCACCCCCTCCTTCCCTGAAATCAATCTGCCCCTGCTACATTATATTTCATCAAATAAGTCGAAGTCATTATGACTCATCAGAAATAATCTAGAATAACAGATATACTATAGGTCTGACCAAATTTGGATATGACCATACTACTAAATAATGACACTCCAATAATGTTTTGTACACCACACCGAGAACTCTGCATTAATTGAGTTTGCAAAAAAGTGCATTAAATTTGATCACCAGAGAAACTATTTACCTCTCTGCCTGAGTTTACTCAACTGTCGTTACAAACCATCAGTCCATGTCAATTAGTGTAATGAGCGGAGAAACGCACACCACCAGCTCCGTCCCGCCGCCCCGGCTGTCATTCAGGTAAAAGACGGAAACAGGACGCAGCTGCAGCGCCGCGGTTCACGGTCAAACCTCGAACAGAGACACTTTGTTTTTATCTCTCTTTCCTCTGACTCCTCCACGCTGAGACCTCAGCCTGTTGCACACTTTGTCTGGAGGCTACTGAGAGCACAGCGTCTCTATCTGTCGCGCCGGGAGCATGGCTGCCATCAAGGCTTTGGAGCAGTGGTGTAAAATACAGTGTGACGGCTACAGAGATGTGGCCATCACCAACATGACGACCTCCTTCAGAAACGGATTGGCTTTCTGTGCGCTTATACACAAGTACAGACCGGACCTGATGTGAGTATTTAACTCTGAAGAAGTGGTTATAATGTATGTGAAATTGTGCTGGGGTTTGGCTGTGTAGGCTTTTGTTGCCTCCATGGGGCAGCTGGACACACGTGTCTTTGGTACATATTAACCTTAGATGGTTTTTATTTTGTTTTCTTTGGTAATCTTGATGCATATCTCTTTCAGTGGTTCTTTTAGTTTAGTTATATGGAAGCCCATCTCTGTCAATGTAATGAAACAAAAAGTTTAGTTAGTCAGAGTGTCCACAGGTCCTTAAAAAGTCCTTAAAATGTCTTATAAACAATGTTACAATAATAAGGCCTTAAAAGTAATTAAATAGTCCTAGATCTGATTTTTTGAGGTCTTAACTACTACAAACATTTTATCAATTTTTAAATTTCTTTTTGTGAAAATGAGTGAAGCCTTTCTATGTAAAAGTCCACATTCCTACCAATCTAAAAGAAAAACTATATACTGTTATGTTACTTCATACTTGCACTTAACTATTGGCAAAATATAGCCTGACTTAGTTCACTCTAATAACCATATTCCTACATGACACTTACCCTGCACAAGAGACTACATATATAGCCTACTACTTGCAATGCTTACCTACGATATTTAAACAACTAAAACATGATTTGTCCAAAAATCTGTCATAAATTTGGATAAAAGGTGTCTTGAACAGGTCTTAAAATTAAAGTAATGGATGAAGAAATGATACTAAGTCCTTATTTTGATAAAGTTTCTCATTATTTTGAGATACTAACTCATAATTTGGAGAAAGTTTCTCATTTAAGTGACTTACAGGACCTTTTATTTTCATCACACTGGCAGAAATGGGCTTCCCTATGGTTAATGCTAGGGAGATCTATCATGTTTGTTGTTTGTTTGCATTGACTTTGTTTTATCTCTGTTACAGCATTTTCTGTGTATGATTTTTTTCTGTTTTTTTAATTTTTTGTTATATTGCATGGTATTTTAAAGAATTTTAAACCACAGACTCTGGTTCAGAAAGCGGAATAGAAATTAAGTTTATTATTATGCGTACGAAGGATAATGCCTTAAAAGTTCTATGCTGGTTAGTTTTAAATATATACTTATGTTTTGTTTTATTTATATGTGAAATCCTTATTTATAAGAGTTTTTTTCTGCCAGCATGTCTCGCTTCTCTGTTCATTGTATTCCTGTTTTCCCAGAG